GAGAGAGAGAGAGAGAGAGAGAGAGAGAGAGAGAGAGAGAGAGAGAGAGAGAGAGAGAGAGAGAGAGAGAGAGAGAGAGAGAGAGAGATTCACATCAGCATACCCCTGCCGTGCAATGCTTGACTACTGCTTTTCCAAGTCTTGGTTTTATTCAAAATGTATCACAATGCTCTGCATTGGGGGTTTGTGCTGCCACACCTGGATCCAAGAATACAAATGAAGGCGAAAGTGTCAGAAACTTTTCTTAGCCAATGATTTTCATTCTGGGGATAAGTTACAAGAGTGTCAACAACTCCTAACTGCAGGTTTTCATTCTCTGCGGAAAAAGGAAAGAAGTGTCAAAAACTCTTTAACCATCAATTTCTATTCTGGGGAATGATGGTCTCGAAAGCCCTCCTCCAGATCGAGTACAATACCCAAATCACACTGGGTCATGGTTAATGTCCATTTTGGGGTGGGGTGAAGTGTTTCCACAAGGGGCTTGTACTTTACCTATTGGTTAAGTGATCCACCTCTTTGGTGGTAGGTTACATGTTCAATTCTTAGTGAGTTGATGTTGGACTTCTTTTGTGTTAGCAAGCAATATGCTGCTCAATTCTTAGTAAGTTGATGTTGGACTCAATTCTTAGTGAGTTGATGTTGGACTTCTTTGGCGGTTGTCCATTATGCGCAATTTCTCTGTCCACTGATGAGGCCGTTTCCGGCGGAATGGCTGAAATGCGTATGGACTACCGTCAGCATGGTGTTCTTATGTACTCTCATGTTTTTTTCGGAACAAGAGTGCCTGATGCCTTTTGCGCATACTTGTCTATGGCTTTTTCTGCTCACTTCTGGTCCTTCTCTCTGTCATTTTCCCTCTCGTTCTTTTCCTGTTCTGTGAATGTCTCTGTTTTTTTCGTCTCCTTCCACCTCCAATCCTATCGCCCTTGAGGCTCTGCGCATTTGTCGTTGCGTTCCCTTTCTTCAAGCAATATGCCATCCATCTCTTCTCACTCTCTAGACAGAAACAGAGGAGAGAAGGCGGAAAGGACAGAAGATAAAGCTCTCTCACAAACTCTCCAATCCTCACACTCAAATTAAGTAAAGGTGATCCTAAATAACAGTTGCTATGGATGCCTGATAAGGAAACAACTCAGCAATGGAGGTCAGCACCTGTCCGGTCACTTCCAACGTCCACAGTCTGGAAGGTATGTGCTATTTTGAAAGTGGTCTCACTAACCTGCAACCACGGAACTTCCTGGGACCCAGAGCCAACCCCTGCTCGCACATTTACTCTCCTCCCTGGAATGGAATATAAAAAGTGTGCTTTGAATAGAGAAAAGACTGAAGAATCAGACTGCAAGGGCAACTCGGCATGGAGAGTGAGTATCCATAGAGGAGCATTGAAAGGCTGTAAGAGAAGAGAGTGATTGGGGGGTGATAGCAGAAGGGAGGAGGAAAGGAGATGAAATAAGGATGAGAGCAGACGCAGCAGGTATGGTAATGGCTGGGGAACTGCAACAGGGAGAGAAGATCTTGGGCGACAGGAGAGAGGAGTACGAAAAGGGGAAGTTGGATCTAGAGAAGGCAGTAGGTTGCATCTGCATCCCCCCTTGGCATTAGCAGACCCACATCGGCCTGACCGAACAAGAGCTATAGTTTCCAGGGCATGATCACTGCACTAGTGGTTAACGGGGAAAACTCTTTTCATTGCTTAAAGCCTTAAACCTTGTGTTTTTGGCCAATTTTTTGGTTTTCTGGAATTTGACTGTTGGGATTGTGTGTGGTGACCTTTTTTTTTTAAGGCCAGTTACTAGGCACACATTGATCGCCTGGAGTGGTCAGCCATGGTTGTCCTGAGAGAACGAGGCTACCTCCCATCCCATCCTCACATCAATACTCCTAGCGCACCCCCTATCTCTACTATCCTACCTCAGTGTGACCAGCACTCAGGACCATTACCCTACTAGTATCGAGGGGAACTTGGACCGAACAGTAGTGACAGGCACCAGGGCTAGCCATGACCCAGCCCCAGTGGAAGCGGAGTCGAACGAGCCTCGTCGCATGGGAACTTTGGACGCCAGGCCCAAGCAATCTCCTACTAGCCCCTAAGTTGACCAACTAGTAACTCACGCCCTCTACTCGCCCACCACAGTCCTAGCTGATTTTCAGGCCGGGTACTTATCCTCGAAACGCCTATCATCATCATCAGTTAATCCAGACCAACCAGCGACTCACGCCCTCTACTCGCCCACCACAGCCCTAGTCTGTCACACACAGTCTAGCTGATTTTAAGGCGGGGCACTTATCATCGAGACGCCTATCATCATCATTAGTTAATCCAGACCAAACAGCGACTCACGGCCTCTACTCGCCCACCATTTCTTAATCTTCTGAAGTGTCAATTGAAATTGTCTGTGGTGACCATTTCCAAAAAACGCTGAAATTTCTGAAAATTCTCTGAATGCAAATTTCCATTCAAGTGCACTTTTGCCTCCACTTTCATCCTGTTTTTTTTTTTTATTATTATTATTTTTTTTTTTGGGTTGTTTGTTAATATGGAGTCCACTCTATGGACTGCTGACAAGTCTTGTTAAAAAGGCCTTCCGGTTTTCTTATAAACATTATTTGACAAAACGCACCACTCGATCACTGCAGCTGTAAACATGCGAGGAAGACAACGATGAGATGGAACGCGTGGAATTGGTGTGAAAAGTAAGAGCACACAGTTATACGTAGCAATGCCAGTGTTCTGTAGCTCAACAAGTCGAACCCGCCGTGGCCCAAAGGCGGGGATGAGATGAAACAATGAAGTTGGGCCAATGAGGCCATTCGAGCTCGAGATGTGTGAGGGACAGGCCTCCACTTACTCCCCATATGCACAAAAGGCGAGAAATATACCCATGTGCGGGACTGTGCAATGTCCATTCTTGCCTTGCATTATACTCTAGCCGAGGTCGCTGTCGTCGCTGCAGGGGTGAGGCTCGGCCTCAGAAGTAGGTCCGAGGCCAGGTCTGTCCAAAATGAAGACGAATTTTCAGGAACATGGCAAGATATAAAACAAAAACAAAAACAAAGATTAAAAAAAAAAAAAAACGGGCACGTCTGCCAGCGCTGTGTCTAGGCCCTCAGGACCTCACCACATGTCCAAAGAACGTTCAGGTAAAACATGGGAAGATTCGGGAAAAAAGAAAAAAGAAAGGGGCCACGTACGATGGAGTCACACCCAACGTTCAGAATAGGCAACTTAAACCACCAGTACTTGGCCCAACTATCGATGCTGAGACTGGAATGCCCCTGTGCCCCAATTTTTGCCGAAGCGCCGGGGTACCATTTCAATTTTTTTTTGGCTGGTGCTTCCAGCCATTGTGGTCCGGTACCCCGAAGCCCTAAAGGCGTGGTGCGTTAACGGGCGCCGCGGCCGATAGCTGGGCCAAGTACTGGTGGTTTAAGCAGTTCCTGAAATGGAGCAGAAAAGGCGACCCTAAATCTGCCAAGCGCCACTGTGTGGTAATGACTGATGCAGTTTTAGACCCCCGCTAAACTTGCACATTTCGAAACTCACACCATGACACCGGCGCCACTTTGTCGTTTTTTGCCTATTTCAAACTAAAAGTGTGTCACAGCCACAGCTTCCACAGAAAGGGAAGAAGACACATCCGCCAGCTGTGTATCGAGGCCCTCAGGCCCTCACATGATGTTCAAGGCAGGATGAACCTTCGGCCAGAACATGGGAAAATACACCGCCATACTATGCCTTAACTTTTTTTTGTCTTTTGTGCATGTGGTGAGTAGTGGATGGAGGCCGCTGGGTGACACATCCGCCAGCTGTGTATCGAGGCCCTCACGCCCTCACATGATGTTCAAGCCAGAATGAATCTTCAGCCAGAACATGGGAAGATACGCCGCCATACTATGCCTCCTTTTCTGTCTTTTGTGCATGTGGTGAGTAGTGGATGGAGGCCGTTGGGTGCTGGTATGAGCGCCAAATGTGCAAAATGAGAATGAATATTCAGATAGAACATGGGAAGATACAACGCCATATTTTGGCCTTTTGTGCATGTGCATAGTAGTGTACTGAGGCCCGCAATAGGGCAGCTATGTACTTATATTCAAACAAAAGCCTCTAATATGCTGCCAGAAGGAAAAGATGCGGATGCGCCCTACTAATCCGTGAAAAGAAAAACATGCAGACGCACCCTACAAACACGCGAAAAGAAAAACATGCAGACGCGCGCCCTACAAACCCCTCGCGCGTGGCATGGGACCAACGGTCGTGCACCATGGAAAGAAAAAGAAACAAATGCGCCCGCACCGCGAAAAGAAAAAGATACAGATGTCTACCCCAGCGGAAAGAAAAAGATACCGACTTGCCCCCCCCTGCGATTGAGATATGGTTAATGGGGGGCCAAATGTTCGCCATTTTCACCGGCAATTTCGGTGCGAATTTCATCGAAAAAAACACCCCTGGTTAACCATATGTGACGCGGATCTTTCCAGAACCCGCGCGTGAGAAAGGGGGGGGAAAAAAAAAAAAAGCGCAACACGCGAGTGGTTTCTGGAATGAGCCAAACTTGATCTTGGCCAGTGTGAAAAGGTGATGAGATGCAGCATATTTGGGGTCAGGAATTGAACCAATTGAAGTCTGAACCAACCTTGATCTTGGTCAGTGCAAAAAGGTGATGAGATGCAGCATATTTGGGGTCAGGAATGACCCAAGCTTGATCTTGGCCAGTATGAAAAGGTGATGAGATTCAGCATATTTGGGGTCAGGAATTGAACCATTTGATTCTTGAAGTTCGAACCAATCTTGATCTTGGTCAGTGCAAAAAGGTGATGACATGCTGCATATTTGGGGTCAGGAATAAGCCAAACTTGATCTTGGCCGGTGTGAAAAGGTGATGAGATGCAGCATATTTGGGTTCAGGAATTGGACCGACCTTGATCTTCGCTAATGTCAAAAGGTGATAAGATGCTGCATACTTGGGGTCAGGACATGCCATCCCCTCCTGGTTCTCAACTCCTGTGGAACCACCCTTCGCTCTCTTGTCCTGGAAGTACACCACTTCTGAGATACCTGCCTGGGCATTTGGCAACCAGTTTGAGAGAGAAAAAAAAAAGCCAATTCCCAAAGAATGCAGCTCAAACTTCAAAGACAAAAATACAAACTTCCAGCCAGACATCAACATCATCGACCCAAACATCAACCCCGGCATCAAAAGCAACCCATACATCAACTCACAGTCTCACACGCACCAAAAAAAAAAGGGAAAAAAATTCAAAAAAAAACAAAGGGAAAAAGCCTCAAAAAGGAAAAAAACACAGACATCAACACAAACAGTAACACAAATGCGGATTGAAATATCAATACGAAAATCGGTGAAGTTGTGAACATAAAAATGAACACAAACATGTCCTTCGGGACATCCGTTAAAATTGGAACGATACAGAGAAGATTAGATTAGCATGGCCCCTGCGCAAGGATGACACGCATAAGTCGAGAAATGGTCCAAATGGCAAATTATTAAAATAGAGTAAACAATGTCCTTGGGACATCCGTTAAAATTGGAATGATACAGAGAATGAAGATTAGCATGGCCCCTGCACAAGGATGACACGCATAAATCGAGAAATAGTCCCAAAAAAAAAAAAAAAAAAACACAAGCATCACGAAAAACCTCAAGACAAGCACAATATAGTGTGCGAGTGTTAAACTTCCAGAACCTCACCCAGGCAAGCTTGAGAATCGAATATGCAACATTCCGGGTTCTTTGGATGAACGGTGCGCTACAGGACCAGCGCCGCCACACCAGGCGAAAAAAAAGAATAACATGCTGCTGGCGGTTCAGTTTTCTTTAGTGCGCAGTGGGAATCCGCCTCCGCAAAAAGAGGCTCTCGGAGGTGCCGGTGGTTTAAACCAGCAGTACATCCGAGCCTCTTTTTGTCGAGGCAGATTCTCCCTGTGCACCAAGCTTTGCCAAAACGCCAGCGTGACGTTTCTTTTTCTTCCCTTTTTGGCTGGCGTCGCCAGCCATTTTGGTGCCGTAGCATTGTTCATCCGTAGTTTTCGGAATGACCCATTTTCGATTCTCAAGTTCGCCTGGGTGGTGTACTTGCGGTTCCACTAGTACCTCCACCAGTGTTGGGAAAATAGGGAAAAGTGGACGTTTTCCCAAACTCCCAAAAATTTGGGGGCCGGGCCCGACGACGGTTGCCATTGATCAATCTGATCGGCGGCCGTCGTTTCATTTCGGCCTCCGAAAAGGTCGGAGGCCCACCCGAGGCCCGCTATTTTCCTACACGGCAAAGGTACTCGTGAGCTTCAAATGTCAGGTCTGAGTCCGTCAAACAGATCTTTTGACATGCATGAGGTTGTGGGGTTGCATGGCGGCAGAGGTGGTAGTGAAAGTGCAGCAGATGCTTCGGAGTGTCGAGGTAAGACAGACATCAGATTGTGCAATGCACATTCATGCTTGTTTTTTTTCTAATTATTATAATATAGATGGGCAATGCAGCTTCAAATTCACTCATAGAGCCATATCCGTTACAAATGGGCAATTCAGCTTCAAATTCACTCATACAGCCTTATCCACACACGCTTGCCCAGATAGCACACCATTCGAAAGGACAGAAAGAGTAACAAAGCTTACTTGCATAGGTAAGAGTTACAAAGTTCAAAACTTCAAACCTGTTCGCTCAGCATCAGCCCTTAAGTCCAATATCAGGGTAAAGGCGGCCCATCTTGAACATTACCTTGCAAAGGTGGGAGGTGAGCATTGTGAAAGGATTTCATGCTGCAGACAGGCACTGATGTCTCAAGTCCCAGTGTCCCAGTAGGGTAGGTCCGATAGGCCAGTTTGAAGTGTTTTCGGTACCAGACAGAAAGGTCCAAGTCCAAGGTCGGTCCAGTTCCAGTCCCAAGTCCACAAAATCGCAGCAAGTCCCAGGACAGTCCGGAAACCACCGGACCGACAAAATAATTGCAGCAGACAGGCCGTTGTTGACTGGTACCAGTCCGAAGCAGGCCAAACCACGACAAGTTCTATATTTAGCTGCTACAGTACAGTGGCTCATCAGTTGCTCATTCGTGAAGTTGCGGAAGCGCTGCTGCTGCTTGTGTGACCAAACGACTTGGGCAAGACTGCGCTCGAAGAAGAAGGGAGCGCCGACGTCAACCATAGCTAGGGTAGTGATAGGGAAGCAGGGTGGCCATAGCCACCAAGGTCTGAGTCTGATCTGAGCGCTTGTATCCAGCGCACGATCTACAGACACACACACACACACACACACACAGAGAGAGAGAGAGAGAGAGAGAGAGAGAGAGAGAGAGAGAGAGAGAGAGAGAGAGAGAGAGAGAGANAGAGAGAGAGAGAGAGAGAGAGAGAGAGAGAGAGAGAGAGAGAGAGAGAGAGAGAGAGAGAGAGAGAGAGAGAGAGAGAGAGAGAGAGTGTTGAGTGATACGAGACCAGAGGGAGAGAGAGAGAGTGTTGAGTGATATGAGACCAAAGGGAAAGAGAGAGAGAGAAGGGAGTAGGTAGTCGGGTACATACCTGTTTTGTGCGTGGAAGTTGTGTGAGCGGCGAAGTCCGTAGGAGACTTGAACACTTTCTTTGCATAATAATAATACTTTGGTGCCAGTCCTTCGTGCAACTCTTTTCTCGGCTACTTGTTTCCATCGCGGATTCTCATATGAATGTTGGTTGCATGTGTGTGCGAGGTTGAGGGTGATTGACTTGTGAATCATTGCGCTGGTATCAGAGCTGAATCCCGCTACATCCGCTGAAAGAAGCAGCGCTGGCAAGAAATAAGGCGGGTGGGCAGAGGAAAAAAAAGAAGAGAGAAAGATACATCGGGGTTGAGTGAGTGAGGGCCGAAGTGGAAGTGTCCTAGAAGGGACGAGCCTAGTGAAGTGCTTCTTGCCCTGGCCCTCGTCTTCTATGCAATCCATTTTTGTTTTGTTTCGGTATCTCCCTGAACTCTCCTCGGGACCTCTGCTGCAATCAGTCATTTTTGTTGATGTCAATCTGGTCGCACCTGAGTTTTGCTGTTGTGAGTCTTTTGAGTCCTGTCCTGCGTGTTGAGGATGCATGTTGACTGAACCCATTAACTGGATGAATCACCCGTAAAGTAGGGGACGTGGGCATGAGTGGTGGGCACTCGTAACCCGGCTAGCCCAATGACTGGTACGGCCCTGAACCGGAGCTGGCGCAGTGAAGGGAGTAGGTTGCTAGGTAGATGCAACTGGATGCATGACCCGGAAGTAGGGAGCGTGGGCATGAGCAGCGGGTGCTAGTAAAACAACCCGTCTAGCCCTAACACCGTTACTGACTGGCATGCGACCGAATCGGTGCTGATGGAGCGAGGGGCTTTCAGTCTTGAGAACGAACCTGCATCTGGTGGCCACGACATCCTGCCTACGTCATTAAATAATTCCTGAGGTCCTTGCTGGCAGACCTTAAACAGCTGGTTGGCCACCAGCTCTCCAGGGGAGTGTAGGGTCTGACGCGGAGAAGGGAAGCAAAAGGTTGCAAAGTTAGTAGAGGCCAATTTAGGTTAGGATTAGAGTTCAAGTGTTGAGGTAAGTAGGTCTTGAGGGGTAGGTCTACGTGGTGAGGAGGCGGAGTCTACCCACTGTGTCCAGATCTCACCATGGACAGCTACCCTATGTACGGCTTCTTGCCCCTCAACGTGATATGGGGGGCCCTCCTTTGCATGCTCTTCCCCTTGGGGTTCCACCACACCTTCGAATTGGGGGTGGTAGCTGGATCCGGTAAGTCCACACAGCCGTATACACCTGAGTAGGTAAAAATAGACGCAAAATTAAGGGAACAAAAGGAAAAGCAGGCGGAGAGGTTGAGAAAGGAGGAGGAGATGAAAAAGCAAATGGAAGAGGAGAAAAAGAAGTTGGAGGAGCAGCAGTAAAAGATAGAAGAAAAGATACAAAAGGAAATGGAAGAAGGGGCAAAGAAGTGCTGAGACAACCGATCTTTGGCAATGAATGGCTCATGAACGAGGCCAATAACCCGCTGTACCTTGAGCCAAAATGGCTATCTTGGATTAGGAACGGCATATGGAAGATAGAACACCTATGGAATGAGGACAGGAAAGAATGGGTATCAGAGCGCGATATTCGCCTCCAACTGAAAGGTTGTCACAACAGGGGTCAGAACCTACAGTACATTCTCAGTAGAGTGCCACAGGAATGGAATAATTTTTTGTCCACAGATAAGACCTGGAACCAGGGGGAATGGGGACTGATGATCCAGGAGATAGTCCCGACCAGAGCCTACCAATTCTCTCATACGCTACAGGGATCTACAACCAAAGCCTCCTTCTGCTCCTTCCCAATCTCCTTATTCACCACGGACATGCCAGAAATCCTAAACAAGGATATAGAAGTGGTAACACATGACCTGTTCCTCTTCAGAAAAATTAGAGTCCTAGGGACATGGCCAAAGCTGATCTTTCGCCCCGATACTCCAATCAGAGCCCTGGAATTTGACCCAGCCGAATGGGGGTGGAAACCCAATACCTCRYGCAACATCAAGGCAAAAGTCCCCTTACAGGATTATACAGTAAAACTGGGTTATAACCTGCTTTTGAAAACTAAAGATCCAGACCCCGTCATCCTGAGTAGATGGCAAAAACTCGTGGGACAAGAGGCCAACATCCTGAGTAGATGGCAAAAACTCGTGGGACAAGAGGCCAACAAAATAGGACAGCTCCCCTGGAAAAAATATGCACGAATCAGACCAGTGAAAATCAGGAGTCTGCAGTGGCTGATTGCATACGCTGCTCTACCGGTCAACCAGTGGCTGCACACCAGACGCAGAGCCTCGAACCCGAACAGCTCGGAGCTCTGCACAGTCTGCTCAACAGGAGTAGTAGAGGACATAGTGCACTGTCTGGTGTATTGTGCGGAGGCAAAAGAATACTGGTCTAGAGCATCCGCTCTGTGGGACTCCCTTTTATCATCTCCCTTCCCAGACCAGCCTATCCAACTTCTTCTCCTTACTAACATCCCCACTATGAGCCGGCAAGCGGAGAAGATTTTGCAATCAGACTCGTTTTCAAACACACT